CGCTAGAAAGCGGGTTTCGAGACCCTTGGTGGGCAGAGCACAGATAGCCCATTGTGTAGTTTTGTGCTTAACTTCAAACAAACAAAACTAAAAAGCAATCCAGTAATGACTCTATAGATAAAGATTAGTATGCATTGTTTTATCATTTAGTATCATCATTGTTATGTTTCTTAATGTTTAAGTACAATGATAATATCAATACACATCTGTATATATATCAAAGACATACCTACATGTAAATAACAAAATTATATTTTAACCAATTTGAAGTTTTCTTGAAGTTCATTCAAAGAATGTCATGTTAAATTATTTAATTAAAACGTGTCTTTGTTATTTACCAATATATGTCTCATAAGAGATGAACACAGTATTGACATAACTGTAATTCTGTTTTGTTCTTAGTAAATTTACTGCGAAGTTAAGGCTCCCTTTTGTTATGTTTATCATAGAATCAGCTTGTCCATCTATAATTTGCTGGTTTAAATTCATTGATATGTTAAATATAAATTCATACAAATACACATTGAATTCACATTTTTGATTCTAGTCTTATTTTTCAAACAATCTTTGTTATGTTTTTCTACCTTCCAGAGAAAATTCTAAACGAACATTATATCTTAATTATTGAAGTTATAAATTCAAATATTTACTGAACAGTATGAATATTATTAGGATGAGGAGAATATCTTAATGACAAATATTTTTCAATCTACCTGTTTGCTGTTGTCGTGATATTCAAGTTATTCATTATGTCTTGCAGTGTTGTTCCAATTCCTGCTTCACAAGCTGGTGGACCTTCAGCTTATTATCAACAACCTTCTGAGGACGGTAGTAGACCAGGAAAGTTTTCCGTAAACACAGAATATTTGAACATCATGTGTGTTTTCATTTTCTTTATCGTTTCAGTGATTAACAGTAATTAGAGACAATTAAAATATCAATAAGTATTTAAGTTACTCCCGAAAGGTGTGCTTAACAAGAAGGCTATAACAAGATATACTGTGCAATAAATTGGCATGGAGCTTTATAAAATGACAATATTAGTTAATTTTTAAACTAGTAATAATCATACACTTTATTATTACATTAGAAGTTATGATCAATTTCTCAAAACATCCTTACTAATTATTAATTATTTTGTTGTTGTATTCATACCAAATAAGGCCGAAATATGAAATGATGACCCTTTCTCTCCATGAAGGTGAACCTGGCCATCATCTCCAGGTAAGAGGTACACTTGTGTCTGAATATCGTTTTGGCTGTAAGAATTATTAGCATTAATGAAGGAGACATATCATATACGGTTTTCTGGCTATTATAAAATTATTCGAATTTTAAAACTTTATTATTTAATTCTTGTTACTGATTTAGATTTATCGTTTCACTTCAATTTGAATAATTGAAAAGAACACTAATTTTTTGAATTAGGACTGTTTATAATAAACATAAGACATTGAAGACCAAAAAAGTAAAAGAGTCACAAACGGAGAAAGGTGAGATAACTATTTCATATAATAAAATAAAATAATATCATACTGAATTACATCTGTGTCCAAAATTTAAAATTAAAGGCAAAATTAAGAAAAAAACAAAAACACATGAAATTACACAAAAAGTTCGATAATCTTGTAACCAAATCAACTTCTGTTTGTGGTTTTTGTAATACAAATATTTGTGCTATAAACTTGATTATTAAATTAAAGCATTAAGAAGAAAATAACAAACAAAACAAAATATTTGAACTATAAAGAAAATGAAGAATATCTAGAAAACACCTACGACAGATTTAATGGTAATAAAATATAACAAAACGCAGTAAAAGAATCACATATTCATCATATTGAGTTAAAAACGTATAATGGAAATCACTACAGGCAGAACGGTGGGCAATCATCCCCCCCCTCTCCTCCCCTCCCCCCGTGGCTGAGTGGTAAGTCTGAAGGCTTATAGCACTAAAATAAAAAAATCGGGTTTTATTCATGTGGGAACAGCACAGATAGCCTAATGTACAGTTTTCCTCCCTACACTTC